ATAATGTTTCTCCATATCAGGTATATATCTCTCATGCTTCTGGTTTCAGATCTGGTTCGATTTAGGGTTCAAGATTGATCATTGAAAATGCATATTTTCTAAAACAGGGAATGTGATTCCCAGATGAGGGGAGAGAAAATTTTTGAAATTTCGCCCAACTTTCCTGCAGGGTTCGACCATCCTTATGATGGATCTTTCATTCCTTCACCCACCTCAACTTGCTCAAAATGCCATGCAAAAATGTGGATTCAAGAGAGGTCACACCTCCTTTATTACAAGATCTGTTTGAAGGGAGATATGATGCTCCTGGATCAAAGTTCAATGAACTAATCCAAGTATATAACTCGATGTTCTCTTTTACCTCGATGGGTGGCAAAATAGATTATGCTTTGTTGGATGGGTGCGGGCCATATTCTTTCAGGATATCAGTTTCTTTTACCTGCCCATGGACAAAGCCCGAGATTTGCCCAACTTTATATTTATGATACAGAGAATGAAGTGAGCAACCGAATTGCAGCCATTGAAAATAATGTAGGTCATCCCAACGTCAACCCAGCCATTGTTGATCAGTTACAATTTATGTTAGCTGAACACATTGAGATAAACCCAATTATTTCATTTCTACTGTTTGCTGTCACAATGAGAACATGATCTATATTACAAAGTGACTGAAATCATCTGCAACAAAAGAAGATAAGTAGCACTAGCCACAGTCATCCCTCTCTTCAACTGGTTGTCCCTTGCAAGGATTTTATTCAAACAAGCACTCCATATGAAGAAAACTACTTTGGATGGCATGTTCATACACCAAACTTTGCGTTTTTGAAAGTCTTGGTCCTCCAGAAGAATCAACTAGTTGTAAAATTAACTGACAAAAAACTGACACAATTTTTCCTATGTCCATTTCCTTGTATCCTCTGTTAATGTCAATTTATGGGTTGTATAACCTTTGCAACAACTCCAACATGGGTCCAACTTCACAATCATTCTAGTTTCTATGGAATTCGGGTACCCACACAATGAATGTTCCCATCTTGAATTTGTGTACAATCTGCCACACTCACCTCCTTGCCTGCAGCTACATAAAAAAGAGATGGAAAGCCTCTATTAAGGAAATATTTCTGCATCAACAATCCTTCCAAAACTTCACTTTTTGACCATTTTGTACATATTCAACTATTATCAGGCTCTACAGGAAAAGCCACCTGTACAGTGAGAGTGAGTGATTCATAGATATACTTAACACACAAGGCAACCTAACTAGAGAGAATCTACACATATGTAAGAACTAAAATTACCTCTAATTATAATAATGAAAAGGGAGCAGGTCTGCTAGTTGAGTCATTTATCGAGCCCTCTACCCACTCTCTATTTGTGGAACTTTTCCTTGTGTGCAAAGTAAGCCCTCTTCCATAGGCAAGTTTTTTATGTTAAAAAATAAAACTTTAAATGGCCAATGTGGATTGTAGGAATGAACATTTGATCAAATCTAGTGGGTCTCTTATCTGGTGGATGGTTTGGGTTGGTAACAGGATGTCTTCTGTGGTAGATTCACATAAATAGGTGGGTTTGTATACAGAAGCTCCCTACTTGACCTTAATGGGAAACCCTTCTCCTAATAAAAATGAATGCATAGAATTATTTTTGCCTTGAGCAATATTGCTTATACTAGTTAATAACCATACTGAGTGCTGGGAAACTATATGTATGTATTTTGTTTTGAGACCACTATCCAAGAGGTAAGYGTTGAAGCATTTAGGCWGARTTTTTATTTGAYTTARGAGACTAAATTGGGTTTGGTTTGTGATTAAACAACCCATCTTATCTAGAAGAATAAGATCCACACCAATGTAGGTGGTGCTTGGTACTGTGGTAGATACCCATTTTGTTTGGTTCTGGGACATGCCACAGCAAACACATGCTTTTTTAAGCCATGGCGTGTTCTCAAACTGGGCGACTTGGTTTTGGAACGCAAAATATTGTAGATTTTGGAACACACCAAAATCTTGTATTCTAGAACACACCACACTTTGGGGCACTCAATAAACATTGATTTAACATATATGTACTTACAAAATAGAATTTAGAACTTGTATACAAGAAGCCTAAAATAATAAAATTAAGTTTGACTTTGAAGTGAAAAATCCACATACAATCCAATCCACTGTGGACTAGACTGGATTATTCAACCTAGACTGGATTGGACCAGTCCAATCCAATCCACTATCTTATTGGACTGTTCAACTTGGACCAATCCATTCTCTTATTGGACTATTCAATCTAGACCAGATTGGACTGGTCCAACCCAATCCATTGTCTTATTGGACTATTCAACTTGGACCAATCCATTCTCTTATTGGACTATTCAACCTGGACTGGATTGGACTGGTCCAACCCAATCCATTGTCTTATTGGACTATTCAACTTGGACCAATCCATTCTCTTATTGGACTGTTCAACCTGGATTGGATTGGACAGGTCCAACCCAATCCACTATCTTATTGGACTGTTCAACTTGGAATGGATTGGACTGGTCTAATCCATTGTCTTATTGGACTGTTCAACCTGGATCGGATTGGATCAATCCAATCCATTGATTTATTGGACTGTCCAACTTGATCAAATTGGTTTTAATTCAATTCAGATTGTGTCCAACCCAAACATGGTCCATTGACAACCCAAATCTTATCTTCTATCAATAGACTAGACATTGGTTCAGCCCAATCCAGTCCAATATAAACCATTATAAATGAAGTAGGTCCAGTCCATTCCAAATTTTATAAGCAAATATTTTATAAAAAGAATATTATAAGAAAAAAAATACCTATAAAGCAAAAATGGTCTTGTGCATAACTAAACTGCTGGCCAGAGTAGGCATTATTTCAGGACTTGAACCAAATATGGGAATTCCTTGAGGTTAGACCTAATTTCATGTATTTTACTAAGAAAGAAACAATTGTTTGATTTGGAAGAAACTGTTACAAAACAGGTACCCAATTCCATTGTACAGTTGGAGAACCTAAAGACTATCTATCAAAGGAATGAAGGAACCCAATTCCATTGGGAGCCTAGGGTCATTAGAACTTTGGGATCTCTGTGGCAACCATTTTTCCAGTCTTTGGAGCTTATCTTCGTTGGGAGGATTGGATATGAGCCAAACCAGCATTTGTAATTTTACAGATAGCATCCATGGCCTTTCTCAACTCAAGGAACTTGTACTACAAGACTGTAAAAGGCTTAAATCAATCCCAGAGCTTCCATCAAGTCTGGAAAGAATATATGCATGTGGTTACACAGAAATGGAAAATTTTCCAAATCTCTCAAACTTACAGAACCTATCACTCCTAATGCTTATGGATTGCCACAGGTTAGCTGAGATTGAGGACCCAGAAAGGAAGGAGCCCATTCAAGAAATTCACATGGATCGGTGCAAAAATTCATATGCCTTTATGAAGAATTTCCTAAATCTTCCCCAAGTCTCTCTCTCTCTCTCTCCCTGTATTTATTTGACTATATGTATCTATCTATCTACTTATCTCAAATTATATATGGTTAAAATGGAACAGGGGGCTAAAGATGAATGTAGTGGATTTGATGCCATACTTGCTGGGAGTGAGGTTCCAGATTGGTTTACATGTTGAACCCTGGGTTCTGAAGTCTCCTTTGAGGTGCCTCTAGTATTGGGTGGTAAAGTCCGAGGGCTCACTTTGTGCGTTGTTTATGCCAAATAGATGAAACCTTAAGGATTTGTTAGCCAGACTAATGACCGTTAAGGTTCCAAATCATTTATAGCCCTAATAGAAAATCAAAATGATTCACATTGATGACCCAGAGTCTAATAAGCATTTGTTAGCCTGATTAAACTGTTTGGAATAACAAAGGAGAGAGGAAATACATGATGAATGAGCAAGGAGTCTACTGCTGGATAGAGAGAGAGATACGAGATAGATAACCACGAGAGAGACTAGGGAGTTCCGTTGGTTGCTAGATAACACTAGAACGATGGAATAATGACCACCATTGCTATTCGCTAGAGAGAGAGATACGAGAGAAAACAACTGAAGAGATACTACTGCCAGAGAGAAATACCACCATCGGAGAGATATCATCGCCGAAAGTACTACCGGAGTTCGAGGAATACCACTGCCGGAGAGAAACCTTCTTCTTCGTTAATTGCCAGAAGGAGCGGTGGAGGTGTGGAGCGCTAGGTCTTCGAAGAAACTTTTGCAAAAAGTTCAAACTTCAAACGAAATGGAACGGACCTTTTGGTTCAGCAGGTTTGTCCAAATTCTGTCCGCATTATATATGGACCACTTAAATTTGGACTGGTCCGAGTCCATACAATTATTTAGACTGTCCGGTCCATCCATAACACCTCCGGATCGGACGGGTCCAACCCGGAACCGGTCCATTGACACCCCTACTTCTCACCAAGCTACTCGCTTTGCTGACTGATTAAATCTTGGTGAGCCCGCCTCCACTTGCTCAAAATGCCATGCAAAAATGTGGATTCAAGAGAGGTCACCGTCAACTTCAATGTCGAATCCAACTTTCTATTTATGTTGCCAAGGAGGTAAAGTGAAGTTGCCATTCTTGCCACTCACACCTCCTTTATTACAAGATCTGTTTGAAGGGAAATATGATGCTCCTGGATCAAAGTTCAATGAACTAATCCGAGTATATAACTCGATGTTCTCTTTTACCTCGATGGGTGGCAAAATAGGTTATGCTTTGTTGGATGGGCGCGGGCCATATTCTTTCAGGATATCAGTTTCTTATACCTGCCCATGGACAAAGCCCGAGATTTGCCCAACTTTATATTTATGATACAGAGCATGAAGTGAGCAACCGAATTGCAGCCATTGAAAATAATGTAGGTCAACCCAGCCATTGCTGATCAGTTACAATCTATGTTATCTTCAATTAATCCCTATGTAAAGATCTTCCGATCCGCTAAAAGTTTCCTTTCAGACAATCCGAGAATTGATGGACCTTGATACATGGTCCAGAGTTACCAAGATGCTATGGCCATTTGTCGCTCTTTAGGGCACCCTGACTTGTTTGTAACATTTACAACAGCAAACCCTCAACGGCCTGAAGTAACTGCAGCTTTGTCTGGTACACCATGGCTAAAACCAATTGATAGGCCTGACATTGTTGCAAGAGTATTTAAGTTACCGTTGAAGGAATTATTAAATGATATTAAAGCAAAGAAGATTTTTGGAAATGTTGTGGCAGGTACATTAAAACTTTCTTCCAATGTCTTGTACTTAAATTCAACAAAGCAACAATTGTACTTTATTGTGAGGGTCTGAGCAACTCTAGAACGGATGGACTATCTAATGTAGTTGATGAAATTTAACAGTACATTGATTGCCGTTATGTTTCTGCTTCGGAAGCATGTTGGAGGATATTTGAATTCCATTTGCAGTATAAAAACCCTCCTGTTGAACGGTTACAGTGTCATTTGGAGAACCAACAAACTATTGTATTTAGTGATATGGATAGCATATACTATGTTCTTGCACGACCAAGCGCTAAAAGAACAGTGTTGATAGCATGGTTTGAAGCAAATGAGCTATACCTTGATGCAAGAGAGTTGACATATGTAGAATTCCCAAAGTATTGGGTTTGGAACCAAGACGGGAAAATGTAGACTAGGAGAAGAAAGGGTACAACAGTTGGCAGTTTATACTATGCGCATCTGAACGATACTATCTTCGGATGTTGCTACATGTAATACGTGGTGTTAGGAGTTTCTATGATCTCAAGACAATCAATGGCACTCACTACGATACATACAAAACTGCATGCATGGCATTGGGATTACTTGAAGATGATAACGAATGGAATCATGCATTGATGGAAGCATCTATTTGGGCAACAGGCCAGAAAATGCATGATATTTTTGCATCCATATTATTATTCAATGAGGTTGCAAACCCCCATGATTTTTGGCAAAAGCATTGGACCTTCATGGTAAGTCGGTAAAGGATAATCAAGGAGTGCCAGTGCCACTGGACAACGTCATACACTGCTCAAATGGCAATTGAGTTCCACCACTTACATTCTGCTGCCTTAAACTCACAACGAAAGTTAGCGTTTGATAAAATCACCAAAGCTGTTGATACCAAAGAAGATGCTTTTTTCTTTGTTCATGGAAGCGGTGGAACAGCACTAACTTCAAAGTTAAGATCCACTAGCAAGATTGTACTTTTAGTGGCAACATCAGGTATTGCATCTTTACTATTGCCAGGAGGACGAACTGCACACTCAAGATTCAAAATTCCAATTGACCTTCATGAAAGCTCAATTTGCTCTATTAGTCACCGCTTAGCACTAGTTGAGCTACTGCAAGCCACAGATTTGATAAAACAGTTGACATTTGAGGCCTTCGATCGTACAATGAAAGATTTGATGAAAAGCTCAACTTTAGATGCAACTAACAAGCCATTTGGTGGTAAAACAGTTGTTCTAGGTGACGATTTTCGGCAAATTTTGCCTATGATGATTCTTAAGGGATCTCGTGAAAATGTCATTTTTGCATCATTGCAAAGATCACATTTATGGTCCCGAAGTGAACTTCTAGAATTGACCATGCTCTGCGCCTCGTGCATGATACCCAATGCCCAAGTCATCTAGGTGAAGTTTCATCATTTGCAAATTGGGTCTTAGATGTTGGAAATGGAAATATAACTGGAGTTCAAATTGATGAGTTTAGAGAAGCAAACTCGGTACCGTTCCCTCCTGATCTCTTGGTGGCTGATGAGGGTCGTGGTGTTCGGCCATTAGTTGAAAGAATATTCCCAAACATAGTCGAAATGATTGGGAATCAGTCGTATTTATGTGAACGAGCAATATTGGCACCGACAAATGATGAAGTTGATGATATAAATGCACACAATATTTCTCTTTTGCCTGGGGATATTCAAACATACTTAAGTATTTGATGATACTATTAGCCATTTAGGAGACATGCCCCATAGTTTATCTAAGCTTATATCCACCTGAGTATTTGAATTCTTTGGAGTTCCTTGGGTTGCCATCTCATTGCCTACAATTGAAGACTGGTGCTCCGATTATGCTCTAAGAAACTTAAATCAGTCAAATGGTTTATGCAATGGAGCACGACTAATAGTCCAGAAGTTTGGAAGGAACATAATTGAAGCAAGAATTATAACAGGGAACTGCATTGGCGATACAGTTTTCATTCCTAGGATTATAATGTCACCATCATCAGCATCTTGTTGAAAAGGAGGCAATTTTCCGTAAAATTGGCATTTGCAATGACAATTAACAAGAGTCAAGGGCAAACTTCGAAACATGTCAGTGTGTTCCTACAGAATCCTGTGTTTACACATAGACAAGTATATGTAGCAATTTCTAGAGTTTCCTCGAGGAATGGGTTAAAGGTTATGATTATCAACAAGGACAATCTACCAATTGACATTACAAGGAATGTTGTTTATAAGGAAATATTTAATGAGATCCGTTTAAATTGAAGTTACCCACCTAAGGTAAGTATATTAACTTGGTTTCTCAAATACTGATATATATGCTATATGGTTGAACTAATATCACAAATTTCTTTATACTTGCAGCATGGCTTTACGGGTGGCTCCCGTTGCTCGATTGCATATACACAAGCTATCTTGGGATTTTATGGGCAGGTTTTGACAAGAATGATTGGAAATTTTGCCTTCCAAAAAGGCAACCAAACACAGAGAATTTGTAGGATGATTTTTGTGAATGCTATCGTGAGCTTCTACACATACTATATTCACATTTTAGTGAACAGATTAATATAAACACATATTGTAACAACAAGAAATTCCCATAGGGAGATGAAGTTGAATTGAAGATGCACAATGCTGACATTGATAGATTTAGTGGCACTCTCATCGAGGGTAAGGTTTACTCAATGAAAAAGTTGCGCGTCTTTACAGCTGACTACGAGTTTACAATAGTGAGGACATATGTGCATATGCAATTCACCCCTAAGACCGAGGTTCTTGAAGTGTTGGGCGACAATCTACAATTCCCATTGTACAAATACAACTTCATTATTTTCAGCAAGGTTGGGTATGGGCCTGCCACTACATGTACTAGCTTTAGAATGACTAGTTGACATGTAATTGCTCTAGAATTACTGTTTGATATGGGCCCACTGTAGGGCACTGGCTAACATGATGGGCCGGACTTGCATAGATGGAACATGTTGGGCATGATGATAAGGTTGGGTATGGCCAATTTGCTAACGAAATGCAAGGACTTGATCAAGTCTTTGAGCCATCCCAATAATCTTATCCAGTTGTTGAGACACATGGTTCCAATCTATGTGTGGCTTAGGTTGGAAGTAGTTTCTCATTCCACAAACTCCGGTCATTGAATTCATTTTAATTTGTTTTTTTTAAATCTTTTTATTTTTATTTTTTTGAAATTTGAAGTTTAAATTTTTGAAATTTAAATTTAAATTTAGATTTTGAAATCTAAATTCCTGAAATTTAAATTCAAATTTGAATTTTCTAAATTAAAAAAAAATGCAAGCAATTCAAACACATGACCCACGGGCCGGCCTACGGTTTTCTAAACTAGTGGTTCAACCAATGTAAATCTTCTTAGGTTCAATTGGAATTACACCACTTCCTTTGGTTATCCAGGTAAGAGGTGGGGATGTGGGAAGCTCCCATTGCTCTCACAAGGACCTAATTAAGTAACCACAAACCCGCTTAGGCTTAGCCGTTTAACCTTTCCTTAAACACCAACCGCCGGTTATGGAAAATAATTACAAATTTCCTTAAAATTCAGCACACTTTTGAACCAAATGTGAGGCTCCTTTAATGATCATGCTATCCAAATTTTAAATTAGGGTTTAGGGTGGACCGCACGTGATGGGTGATGATTTTGGGCTAAGGAAGGGTGATGAAATTCCCATCTTATCTTATTTAAGTTGAATTGCCCTTAAATGAATTAACGAAAAAAAAATACAATAAACAAAATAAATGTAAGGCTTATCTTATTTAAGTGAATGGTGGACTTGAAGAAAGAATTATGTCCACCATCAATGTAAGGCTTCAGCCTTTGCCCATTGACTTTGAAAGTCCCCTTAGTTTCATTAGATACTTCGATTGCACCATGAGGAAAAACTTTAGTCACTATGTATGGACCACTCCATCTTGACCTTAGTTTGCTAGGAAAAAACTTCAATCTAGAATTACAAAGAAGAACCTTGTCTCCAAATGTGAACTCCTTTTTAATGTGTGCATTATGCCATGTCTTGGTTCTTTCTTTATAAATCCTAGAATTCTCATAAGCTTGGTACCTCCTTTCTTCAAGTTCATTCAAGTGCATATTTCTTTGTTCACCTGCAACTTGCAAATCAAAGTTAAGTAGTTTCATATCCCAATACTCTTTATGCTCTAATTCAACAGGAAGGTGACAAGCCTTACCAAACACCAACCTATAAGGAGATATTCCAATAGGTGTTTTGAAAGTTGTCCTATAAGTCCAAAGTGCATCATCCAATTTCATTGACCAATCCTTCCTAAATAAGCTCATAGTCTTTTTACAAAATACCTTTCAATTCCCTTTATGAAATTTCTACTTGTCCACTAGTTTAGGAATTACAGGGGGTAACAATCTTATGGGTAGCACCATATTTAATTAATAAATTATCAAACTATTTATTGCAAAAGTGTTTACTTTCATCACTAATGATAGCCCTTAGTGTACCAAATCTAGTAAAAATATTTTTTTTTCAAGAATTTGATTACAACCTTAGCATCATTAGTGGGACATGCAATTGCTTCCACCCATTTACTCACATAATCAATGACAACAAGTATATACTCATTATTGAAAGATTTTGGAAAATGACCAATGAAATCAATGTCCCAAACATAAAAAATATCACAAATAAGAATATTGTTTAAGGGCATCTCATTTTTCCTTGATATATTACATGTCTGTTGGCATCGATCACAAGAAATTACATAGGCATAAGCATCATTGAATAATATAGGCCAATAAAATCCACTTTGTAAAAGATTTGCCACCATCTTGGATGGTCCATGGTGTCCACCTGCTTCTTTATCATGACAAAAACTAAGTATACTCTGCACCTCTTTCTTTGGTGGGCATCTTCTCACCATGCCATCTGCACAAATCTTGTATAGAAACGGTTCCTCCCAAAGATAGTGCCTCACATCAGATAAAATTGTTTTCTTTTGATGAAAAGAAATGTCAGGGGGMAACTCGTTAGCTACAAGAAAATTAGAAAAATCAGTAAACCATAGTTCATCATTATCATGCACAAAGTATAATTTTTCATTAGGAAATTCATCATGCAAAGGGTGTTCATCCATGCTCTTCACATACTCCCCATCCAATCTAGACAAGTGATCAGCCACCATATTTTCGATGCCCTTCTTGTCTTTGATTTCTAAGTTAAATTCTTACAACAATAAAATCCATCTTAACAACCTAGATTTTGCATCTTTTTTAGCAAGTAGATACTTCAATGCAGAATGGTCAGTATAAACAATCACTTTAGACAAGACCTAACGTCTAAATTTTTCAATAGCAAATATTACAGCAAGTAGTTCATTTTCAATTGTTGTATAATTTCTTTGTGCATCATTCACGGTTCTACTTGCATAATAAATGGTATAAAATTTCTTGTATATTCTTTGTCCTAAAACTGCACCTAAAGTATCATCACTTGCATCACACATGATCTCAAAAGGCAAATTCCACATGGGGCCGAAACTATGGGGGCTTGGATCAATTTCTCTTTTAAACAATTAAATGCATGTAAACAAACACTATTAATCACAAAAGGTGCATCATTCACTAAAAGATTAGTTAAAGGCCTATCAATTTTAGAAAAGTCCTTAATGAACCTCCTATAAAATCCTGCATGTCCCAAAAAACCTCTAACTTCTTTCAATGATTTTGGAGGAGGAAGTTTTTCAATTAATTCAATTTTAGTTCTATCCACTTCAATACCTTTAGAAGATACTTTGTGGCCTAAGACAATTCCTTCCCTAACCATAAAATGCCATTTTTCCCAATTAAGAACAAGGTTAGATTCCTCACATCTTTTAAGCACCAAAAACAAATGTAAGCACACATCGAATGCAGATCTAAAAATAGAAAAGTCATTCATAAATATCTCCATAAAATCATCAATGAAATCCGAAAACAGAGACATCATGCATCTTTGAAAAGTAGCAGGGACATTGCACAAACCAAAAGACATTCTCTTAAATGCAAATGTTCCATAAGAGAATGAAAATGTAGTTTTCTCTTGGTCTTCGGGAGCAATGGGAATTTGGTGATAATCAGAACAACCATTAAAAAAATAATAAAATTCCTAACCACCAAGTTTTTCAATCATTTGATCAATAAAGGGAAGGGGGAAGTGATCTTTTCTAGTAGCATCATTCAGTTTCTTTTAGTTTATACATACCCTCCAACCTGTTACTGTCCTTGTAGGGATTAATTCATGATTCTCATTTTTTACCATAGTGGTCCTACCTTTTTTAGGCACAACTTGCATAGGACTTACCCAAGAAGAATCGGATATAGGAAAGATAATACCTGAATTAAGCCATTTTATCACCTATTTCTTTACTACCTCTTTCACAATAGGATTTAACTTCCCTTGGGGTTGCACCATAGGCTTGAGTCCTTCTTCCATCAAGATTTTGTGCATGCAAATTGATGGACTTATTCCTTGAATGTCGCCAATGCTCTATCCAATTGCCCTTTTGTGTTCCCTAAGTACCCTTATCAAATTTTCTTCTTCAAGACCTGTCAAGTAAGAAGAAATAATCACAGGTAAGGTAGATGGATTCCCCAAATAAACATATTTTAAATGCGAAGAAAGAGGTTTAAGTTCAAGAGTAGAAGGCTTCTCGATTGATGGCTTGGCTTTTGAATAAGAAAAAGATATATCCAAAGGCACAAATTTTTCTCTTTTTGTGACAAATCCTCTTTGCTTTTCTCCCAAATAGCCTACAACTTCCTTATGCCTCTCATCTAAAATTTGTTCATTCACATCAAAAGAGTTAGTAATGCAATTTTCTATGGGATCATCTAATCTAAATGCATGAAATTTTCTATCTACCAAATCATCAATGCAATCAATCATTAAGACTTCTTTTTCATCATTGGAATGTTTCATAGCCTTAAACACATTAAAAATAACTTCCTCATCATTAATTATAAGGCTAAGTTTTCCTTGTTGGACATCAATTAAAACTCTTCCTGTGGCAAGAAAATGTCTCCCTAAAATTAGGGGCATATCATAATCTTCTTCCATATCCAATACAATGAAGTCAACATGCAAAATAAATTTATCTACTTTTACCAAAACATCTTCCACTACTCCCCTTGGATGTTTGATACTTCTGTCAGCCAATTGAAGAGAAACAATGGTAGGTGTTGGCTCCTTTATCCCAAACTTCTTGAAGACAAAAAAGGGCATCAAATTAATGCTTGCACCAAGATCACATAAAGCCTTATCAAAATTAATTTCGCCAATGGTGCACGGAATAGAGAAGCTCCCTGGATCCTTGAGTTTTGGAGGTAATTTATTTTGTAGGATTGCTGAGTATTCCTCATTAAGTTTTACCATCTCAAACTCCTCCAACTTTCTTTTGTTTGAAATTATTTCCTTCAAGAATTTGGCATAACTTGACATCTATGAAATAACATCAAGAAGAGGAATGTTAATATGCAACTTTTGAAACACCTAAAAATTTAGCAAATTGCTTATCCAAGTTAGCGTTAAGAAATCTTTTAGAAAAAGGAAGAGGGGGTTTGTACAATTTTAAATTAAGAGTGGAAGAACTTTCATTTTTCTCCATTGATGACTCACAGTCTCCTTCTTTGGCGTCAAGGTTTTGGCTTTCTTCCTCTTTTACATGCTCATCAGCTTTTTCTTCTTTTCCAAGTTCTTTTCCACTTCGCAGAGTGATGGCCTTTTCTTGTTCCTTGGGATTCTTCTCGGTATTGCTAGGTAATCCTCCTTGTGGCCTTGCCGAAATTGTTTGAGCAAGTTATCCAATTTGAGTTTCTAACCCTTGAATTCTTGCCTTCATACTATTGATAAATTTTTCCATCATATCCTCCAAATTTGGCTTCTTCTCTTATGGATTTTGTTGTTGTCACTATTGAAAGCTGGGTGGTGCTCTTTGTTGGTTATTACTCCAAGAAAAATTTGGATGGCTTCTCCATCCTGGATTGTAAGTGTTGGAGTAGGGATTGAAATCAGACCTGTTGCCACCATAAGAAATAAAATTAGCAAGTTTGGAACAAGAAGAATGGATTTCCTACATGATAGTCTACACTAGTGTGTCCCCCTTGCCCACAAAGCTCACACGAAGGAAAGGGAACAGAAGAGACACTCATAGCTAAAACCCCCAAATTTTCCAATTTCTTATTTAATGCAGCAAGTTGAGCCGATAAAGCTCGATGGATTCCGATGGGCAGAGCTAGCCCGTTGGACAGAGCCCAAGCCCGATGGGAAAAGGCAGGCTCTCTTATCCATGCCCATTGGACCCATTGGACCAAGCTTGTTGGACAAAGGAAGGTTGCCTGGGTAGATGGGTAGCCGTCCATTTGGACAAAGGGAGGTAGATTTCCTGAGTAGATTGGCAGTCGTCCATCGTGGACAGATGGGTAGATGGGTAAATGGAAAGATAGCCTAATGGACAAAGCGAGGTTGCCTAGGTAGATGGACAGCCATCCATCAATCTTTGTCTCCCTCGCTCAGTCTGTCATATCTCTCTCTCTCTCTCATATCCCTTGCTTTCCCTCTTTACCTCTCCCTCTATGTGTCTCTGTCTTTTTTGTCTCTTCTCTCTCTCTCACTTTCCCTTTGTTTGTCTCTCTACATGCCTCCCTTTCCCTCTGTGTGTCCCTCTCCCTCTTCGTATCTGCAAAACACAAATTGCAGATCTTGTATCTGTGAAAAGTCTTCTTCTCCACCATGCGAGCCAACACTTCTTCCAATGTAAAAAAATAGAAATCCCTAATTTTATATTAACTACATCAGATCGAATCCTATACATTTTTTCTAAAAATAAAAAAAAATTATTTACAGACCAAAATAATAGAATAGAAAAATATAGGGTGCGCAAATCTTGGTGCATTAAAGATTTCAATCTCCATCACACATACAACCCACACATCCACGAAATAATCATAGAACCATTCCATAATTAAATCAGAATAATAAAAAATTAATTTTCAGATCATACGCCCCATTACTGAGAAACGAATTCTCAGAAAAACATCAATATGCGCAAATCGGATAGAACCGATTATGCCCATTTGTGTAGGTTCAAATAAGGCCTGATTTGGTTCAAGATTTAAACCTGGCTCTAATACCACTGAAGGGATGGGAGATCCATCATATGGATGGCCGAACCATGCAGGGTGGCTAGGCGAAATTTCAAAAATTTCTTTCTCCCGTCTGGGAATCCTATTCCCTAATTTAGAAAACTACATTTTCTAGGTTTGTTCTTGAAACAAACTGGACCAAATATGAAACCAATAGAAAGTAAGCAGGGATGTACCTGATACGGAATAACAGTAACTCCCAACATAGGTGTTCACGCCCAAAGAGGTGACCAAAACCAGCCTCCACTAAAAATGACACAGCGTATGATGAGGTAGGATTAGCAAAGTGGTTCTTTTGCAATAACCCTAATTCTTCGACAAGAATCACGCAAGGGGTTGGTGACTGAACTAGGTAGGGGCGGAAAGAATTGGGGAAGAATTCTACAGATTGCTGAGTGTGTTTAAACTGGTGAATTCACCCCCTATTTATAGCCTCCTTTGGATCTGGACTCTTAAATGAATAAGATTTATCTTATCCTTTAGCTAATCTTGATAAGATTATAAATCAGTTTAGGTTTTAAAGAAAACCCACACAGCATGTACCTCAGGTCTCACCTTGGCAGCTGAGACAAGCCACCCAAACCAATTTGGAGGCACATCAGTGTCAACCTTGGCAGGATTAATCTCCCCAGATCTATCCAATGGGTGTGAAGATTCTAAACTAACATGAGTCTCATAAGTGTCCAGTTTAAGGATATTACATAGAAACACACCAAAATAACATGAATAAATTATGCATTTTATTCATTTATAATAAATGACAATAAGTACATTGATCTGGCTGAGTTAAGGGTATACATTGTCTAACAGCTCCCACTTGCACTTAGGTCCAATCAGGTACAAGCCGGAGTCCCATACTTTCCACGTATTTCTCAAACACTTTCTGTGTTAGTGGCTTAGTTAATGGGTCTCTCGATGTGCTTTGACTTCGAGTGGGCTTATGGCTCCATAACCTGAGCAATGGCTCCAGTGTTGTCACACAATAGTGGAATGGGTGATGTGTTGGATGAAACTACTCCTAATTCTTAAATGAACTTCATCCAAACAGCTTCCTTGGCAGCTTCACTTGCGAAATGTATTTGGCCTCAGTTGTGGAATCTGTAGTGGACCCCTGTTTGTTGCTCTTCTAGCTAACTTCACAGAACCCCATCGTAAAGATGTAACCAGATGTAGACTTTCTATCATTTGGGTCTGATTGGAAATCGACATCAGTATACCCCTGGATCTGTAGTGAACTACCATCGGTTAATAGACAAAACTCTTTTGTCCTTCGAAGGTACTTGAGTATGTTTTTAGTAGCTATCAAATGCTCCTGACCTGGGTTAGATTGAAATCTACTTACCACACTCACTACCTGAGCAATGTCAGGCCAAGTGCACAGCATGGCATACATGATGCTCCCTACGGCTGAGGCATAGAGAACATCTTTCATGCCCTCAATCTCCTTAGGAGTCTTGGGAGACATACCCTTGGAGAGAGTGACTCCGTGCCTGAAATGAACATTTTCTTTCTTGAAGTTCTCCAGTTTGTATCTTTTGACAATTTTGTCAATGTAAGTAGATTGAAACAATCCTATTATCCTCTTCGATATATCTCTATAGAGTCGAAGACCCAAKATGTAGGAGGCTTCTCCAAGATCTTTCATGGAGAATTGCTGTGAAAGCCACACTTTCACCATAGTTAACATCCCTACGTCATTCCCAATGAGTAGAATGTCATCTACATACAAAACCACGAACGTAACCTTATCTCCCACTGTCTTCTTGTAAACACAGGGCTCATCCAGATTCTGCTCAAAGTCAAACTGTTTGATAGTAGAGTCAAACCGAATGTTCCAGCTCTTATAAGCTTGCTTAAGTCCATATATGGATCAATTAAGCTTACATACCATGTGTTCCTGGCCTGTAGCTATGAAACCTTACGGTTGCTACATATGGATATATTCAGTAAGATCTCCATTCAGGAATGCGGTTTTGAAATCTATTTGCCAAATCTTGTAATCATGGTATGTTGTTACAGCTAGCAAGATCCTAATAGACTTAAACAAGGCCACTGGAGAAAATGTTTTCCCATAGTCAATTCCCTCTTTCTAAGTGTACGCTTTTACCACAAGACGAGCTTTATAGGTCTCAATGTTACAATCTGAGCCATTCTTCCTCTTGTAAATTCACTTGCAACCAATTGCTTTCACCCTAGGGGTGGGTCTACAAGAGTCCAAACCATGTTGGTCTCCAGCGAGTCCATCTTGGCTTTAATGGCGTTTACTCACTTCAAGGAATCTATGTCCAACATAGCTTCCAAATAAGTTACAGGATCTTCCTCGCTGGTCGTGGCTTTCACCAAGTAACCTTCTTGGTCATAGCCATAACGAATTGGAGGCCTGGATACCCGGGTAGACCTTTTAAGTTGGTTATTATCTAGAGCTTGTGGGACATCTCCCACTACCCCTGAACTCTCCTCATCAAGAACAACTTCCTGATGATGATTGTTCAGGATGTAATCTTCTTCGAAGAAATGTGCATTTCGACTACAAACCTTTTGTTCTTTTGGGTCATAGAATAAATATCCTATAGAGCCTTTGGGGTAGCCTACAAATAGGCAACGATTGGTCTTGGATTCCAATTTGTTAGTACTTGTTCTTTTAACATGTGCTGGACAAGCCTAAATCTTTAAGTGTCTTACACTTGGTTTCTTACTAGTCCATAGCTCATATAGAGTCTTAGGAACGGATTTGGATGGGACCCGGTTCAACACGTATATCATAGTCTCTAATGCATATCCCCAAAAGGATATAGCTAGTTCCGAGTGTACGAGAAGTGATCAGACCATATCCAATAAAGTCCAGTTCCTCCTCTCTGACACACCATTTAATTGTGGTGTAGCAAGAGGAGCTAACTGTGAAATAATCCCATTGTTCCTTAAATAGTCCTTGAATTCGTTAGAGAGATATTCACCTCCTCGATCTGATCGAAGGGCTTTGATCTATCTCCTCAACTATTTCTTGACCTCTTGCCTGAACTCTTTGAACATTTCAAATGATTCGGACTTATGTCTCATTTGGTACACGTAACAATACCATGAATGATCATCGGTAAATGTTATGAAATAAACATGCTGGTTACGTGTCCTAACATTCAGGGGACCACATACATCAGTATGTATTAGGTCAAGCGTACCTGTAGATCTTTCAAGCTTACCTGTAAATGGTCGTTTCGTCATTTTACTATGAATGCAAGGTTCACAAGTTGAAAGGCCTTCTACAGTTAGAAAATCCAAAGGACCATCCTTTACCAACCT